CTTTTATCTTTATAAATAAGGCATGACAGGACTCTTTACATTCCATATTTTCTCTGCATCCTTGTTTGAATCAGTTAGTTTTTGCATGTTGTAATGGGGAACGTTCTAAATCCCCCATTTGATGTCTACAACAAAGATTTGCTTTGTGTTCCCTTCAAGAGACCAAAGAAGTGGTACAACACGGAAGGCGAAAAGAAAAGAAAACCATCATTAAGAAGAGAAAACTAGTTATGTTGGCATATCAGGTAGGGTTGTCTGATTCTTCTATTATTTTTAAAAGGATCGCCATCGGCTAGCATATCTTTATTGACAGGAAAATTATTACGGTGAACTCTAAAATTACCTTGTTAATTGCAAGTCCATCGAGCGTACAACACCAAGAGAATGACCAACCTAGCAGAGTTAACTCAGTGCAAGAGGGAAGCTTCAAACAATAAGAAGAAACTTATGCAACCCCTCAGCCAGTCGCTCCTTCTTTCATCGACATTCTTCCTAGGGATGAAGCAAGTTGTTCTTCTCCAGCTGGTCTAAGCAGACATTTGTTCCAGCTCGAGCCCTCTATTTTAAATGAGTGCATTGAAAAGAGAAGGCCCTAGCAACCAATCTGAGTGACTTCCCTCCTCCATCGCCATGGAAGAAGATGAAGGGAACCTCGTTTAAGTAGATTCCAATGCAAGACAGAAGAGCCAAGGTGACTACTAGCTTAGATGGTCGGTTTTCCTTGATCGATCTCAAGAAAGACTGGTACAGACTCCCTCGTCGTGACTTCTTATCCTTTATTTAACTCACACTAGCGACAACGTAGTTCATTCTCGAGTCTATGTCACATGACTGATAGGTATCAATTATGGCCTGAGAGGCTTCTCAATTCTATTTGACTGCCCTTCTCAGAGAAAAAGAAGGATGACTCGAGGCTGAGAAAAAAATTGGTCACAGTTAATGAAAGGGTAAATATGGAGAGAAATGGGTAACGGTTGCCAAAGCTAAGGCACTCCAATAGCGAGAGGAAAACTGAGCCTTGCTTGAGAAGACGGCTACGATAAAAAAAAATGTCAATTTTTTTATTAAACTCTCCTCCCACTCTTATCAGGTGGAACTTCTTGATGCATGGCTTAGAGAATGGGTTGCCTTTGGTGTTGATGGGATGGTGAAAGCAAAATTGGTCTTCTCTGAGTGTACCGGCATGAATAAGTTTGCCACCTTGCTTTCAAACTTGGAGGAGGGGGAGGAAGGCGAGAGTGGTGAAGATGATTGAGGGTTTTCGAAAGCCTGACTCACCTTCGGCCTCATATGTAACTGAGAAAATATTGTTCTTTTTTTCTGAACACTTGCAAAAAAAAACTTAAGAAATGTTGTATATTTTTTAATCATAAATAGAAAAAAAGTTTATGATCATTTTTACCTTCGTTATTTTCATTTTATTTTTACTATGCATTTTATTTTTCATGTGATAAATGTTCAGTTGTGATGATTAATGGACTAGCAATCCTTAAGAATCTTTTTAAGTCAGCTTAGTGAGTTTCCGCCAGAATTAAGTCTCACTCTTCCCATATCTTAGTCATTTGCTTAGGTTGTCCCCTTTGACTGGCCACATCTTACACCATGCATATTAAGTGGATTTTATTGCAAACTTTGCGAGAATAACTATCAAGAATTATTGTTGGGGTGATTGGTATACTACCCACCTTAAACACTATTGCAAATGGGTAAGAAATCACCGCTAGAGCTTGACCCACTTCGAGCTAAGATACATTGGTTTTTGTGACACATGAGCGTTGTGGATTGATTCAAAAACACTTTATCAATTGTTTGTTATTAAATCGTTGTCGGTTATTTATGAAATTTTTATTTCTCAAAAGTTACTCATTGTTTTCAGTTTTGTCGGTTTAAGTTCCCCGAGAGTCAGCAAAATTTTTACAATCTCTTGCACAACTTTACAAGTTCCTTGAGTGTCAGCTAGACCTTGGACGTATGTAAAATTAAAAAAAAAAATACTAATCCAATCTTATGAACTTGATAATGTGTGCTTGTGGTTAGATAACTACCACACGCCATACTAAGTTGGTTGTTTGTCAGGATATCATGCTTGACGCCCTTGGTGGTATGCTCTGTCGGTCACCTTCTGGTCCTGGGGCAATCGAGCTTCTTCGGAAAGAGAATGAGTGGAAGGATGTGAATCATGCCTTGGTCTTCACCCTATGCCTTAGAGGCGCTCTTATGCATGTGACGAGTGGAGGACTCTGCTTTGGAAGAACTAAGATTGAAGTTATACTCCTTTACTGATATGTGGTTGCTGGTCAACTCCAATAACTCCACGAACATCTTCAATCATTGTAGACCCAATGCGTATTGGATGAATCCTTCTTTTAGCCCTTGAGCTAGGGCGTCATGAGTTACTCCAGGCTCTTGATCCCGCACTTCCAACATTTTTTTTTGGAAAGGTGTGATGAACCAATGAAGGATCTCAAGGGCATGTGAGTTTTTTTGAGTCTTTCGGGTGCGGGCAAACTATGCCACAAAAATTATCTTTAATATCAGTAAAAGATTAGATTGCTCTTCGTAGTGTTGCATTAAATCATCTATGGGTTGACTCCCTCGGTGTGGTAAGGAAGAGATAACATTTCAATACATTGGTGATCTTCAGTCGAAAATAGTTGACTCGAATAAGGTTTTGTGTTCAATCAGATCAATTCTACTCTTGTAGAACTCTAGTGTCAGAAATTTGAATCCTTTTGAGAGCTAAACCAAAAAGATTTAAAGAGTGAATGCATTTTATGGCTATCAGGGTGCCTCAGTATGGCCAAGCCGGTGTTGATCGACTAGTGTTGTCCTAACACTATCGGAATACTGAGAATACTGAGATTCACCTTCTCTTTTCAGAGCCAAGGGGACTCTTCGGTCATTGGGTTCCAACCCTTCCTCTCAAGGGTGATGTTTTCTTCCCCGAGCCAGCGCGCTCGGATGACATCTGATATTTAATCCTTAAACTTCTAGATCCGTCGATTCATAACTTGTCTTCTTCATGGACTGCTTCTCTTTTAATTGTGACATGATCCACGCTCACCGCACCTTTTTGAACATCGAATCCTAACTTGTCTATGAATCACACAGAATAAATAAAGCGTAAGTCGACGGAGAAAGAGAAAGAGAGGGAGAGAGTGAACAATAATGAATAGCGAAACATTGTGTCCATCATGTTTATCCTCTTTATTCATTAAATAATATCCTTATTTATAGGAGAGAGAGAGTACAATATGATGATGTTATATTTTTTTCTCTTAATTTAAAGGAGTTGTACATGATATTCTTGGTTTTACATGTATGAGCCTATTGCTCGACTGTTCTCTGGCTCGATAGGTTGAGCTTCATTAGTGTTGGGTCGGTCAGATCAGCTCAGTCAGTTGAGATTTGCTTGGTCGGCTACACTTGATTGATATGGGTCAGTCGGTTCATATGACTCGATTATTGATCCTTGACTTATGATGAGGATCCTCTAGTCATCTCCTGTTTGATTAGAGATGTTGATAAATTAAGTCCTCTCTTGGGTTAGCTTCTTTATGGTGGTTGGCTAGCTTCCTCTTTGTTTCGTTTCTAATCGAATAGTTCAGGCTTGGATTGTTCAGTCATTTTTTTGTGGCTTGGTCGGTTATGACATTGCTTGTTTTTGCTTGGATGACTGTACTTAGTCGGGTCGGTGGGTCTTCCCTTGACATACCCTCCTCCTCTGGACTATTAGATCTCCTAAGGATCAACGCTGACACATTTCTGATGTACAATATGAAAAAATACAATTTAAATGAATGCAATGCTACATATCTAATTCCATCATTAGATTAATATTATGTGGTCTAATTGACTAGATTAATTCTAAGAAGGTATGGGAATTAATTTAGGGCTACTAAAAAATGATAATAAGCAATTATTCATTTATATTGATATGCTCATATTTATCAATAGTAATGTCTAGCCAAGAGTAGGTCTTGAAGTTAAGATCTATACATGCAATACAAATTACATGAAACATACATCTTGTTGAACAAAATACACGACAGCAATCGCTCGTGATTGAACAAAATAGCACTAAACATTTATGGTGATAGCTTATTAGCAGATTGAAACACCATGCATGATCACTCACCATGTGTACGATTTCTGAAGTAGGTTCAAATCAAGTTAGTTATATTATGTTTGGTCCTTTGTATGTTGTGTCCTCAAAATTGAATATTTTTGTTGTTGTTGAAATAAATTTTTTTTACAGTCGGAAAAATTGACCTGATCAAATACATTGAATTAATTGGTCAAAAAAATTTGACCTTTTTAATAATGTCATACATCTAGTAATTCTGCAAATCACAAGTGATGAAGCCGCCCCTTTAATCATTACCCCAAAGCATGCCTTGTAGGGTTTTTCAATCAAAAAAATGAGAGCTGTTTACGTATGGCATACGCACGCAATTCTGCGTGCATATGACCTCTAATAACCTCCCAATAACTAAGTTATTGGGGGTTATTGAGAGGTTATTGAGGGTATTAACCCCAATAACATATCAATAACCTCCTAATAACCTACCAATACATTTTGAGGTTATTCGAGATTTTTTGTGAGGTTATTGGGGTATTAACTCCAATAACAGCGAGATAAACCTCCAATATTCCCTGAATAATCGTTACACGCAGGCAATCATATGTGCGTATGATGACGTACGTAAATATTTTTCCAATAAAACACTCTCCTAAATTAATTATCCAGAATCCAATGACCGTTTTCGCTCTCTCCGAAAAAGAATCTCTGAACTAAACCTTAAACGAATCTCTGACTTTATAACATAACACATGCATGAAAATTTAAAATTATTTTAAGCTTTAAGTAAATTAGGATTACCTTAATTTTTATGACAGTTAGAGTTTAGTATATTCTATAAATAAACATAAAAATGAGTTGCCAAATATAAATATACAGAAATCAGTATGTAAATCAGAAAGTACTTCCGCATAATTACCAGGGCATATGGAATGGAGATCCATCCGGTTATGAGAGTCCACTGCAAACCATAGCCGAGGGAGCCGAGTCCGGCAGCAAGAAACAGTACAGCAGGCAGAGGAAAATAGAGAAGAGCAAGACCGGAGGACCATCCGAACGCCTTACCAAGATCTGAAGCAACGGCGAGGTAATTCAGCTGCACCTGCGTGATTTTCAACGCCGCCTTCAGCTCCGAGGAGTAGGAGGAGAAATCGAAGTTGGTGCCGGTGAGCGCCTGGAGCCAAATCGCCACCACGAGGATCATCCACCGGCGACATCGTCCGTCCATTTATTGTGGTCGGGAAATCCCAAGGCTTTTTTCTCTGTGTTTCTCCTTTTCGTTCCTCGGATTTTGCCTCAAGGTTAAATACCTGCGCGGAGCTTCGGCGCTTGTTCTCAGGTGTTGCGAGGATGGGCTCTTTTTTTAGGCGCGCATTATTTGAGTTGCTTTGGGCCCACCCGAGTCCTGTGTTGTTTCGGGTTTGGCTCCATCATTTTAACACTAATTAATGGGGCTCACTGACAAGTTGGACTCCGAACACAAATTAAGTCAATAGTCGTGATGTAATATTTTCTCATTTTACATATACATGCTGTATTTTCATATCTAATATTTAAATTTTCATTTTTATTTTCATATCTAATATTCTAATCTTTAATATCATATAAAAAATATTATTATTAGTATATTTTCAAAAATTTAATGTATTATTTCATGCATAAATTTTTGAAATCAAAGTCATCAGAATATTATAAATATAAGTATCACTCTAGTTTTTCGATACATAAATACAAAAATGTGTGATCTGTATATAAATTTTCTTTTTTAGTTTCAAACAGGAAGATTTTGAGAAAAATCCCTTCTTGATTAATATTAATGATAATTTTATATGATTTAAAATCTTTAGGGGCATTTACATAGGTATCACATAATATTTTGTTTGATCAACTTATGATTCTATCGACTAGTGTGATGATAAATTTTCGTGCTTGTACCGCTTTCTTCGTACATGATGAATTTTCGTGTAGCCACATTAATAAGGTGTGTGTTTGTGTGTGTGTTCGCGCTTGTGTATCGTGGCCTGTTGGTAGTGCAGCCCCTTTGAAGGTCATCAGTCTCCTCAAGTCACAGGTTCAAATTCCCCTATGTGTAGGGTATGGTACTCAAATATTTAACACACCTAGGGATGATCGGGCCTCATCTAATAGCCTTCGATCATTTCATATATATATATATATATATAACTAATTCAATCGTAAAATTTGATTGAAAATCTCATAGTTGAAGGTATAACCCCAAATGAGCCAGCCAGGATCGCTTGTGTCCAAGGAAGTATTTAGTAAGGAAATGAGTCATAATGATGTAGAAATTATTAATTTTGTAAATAAATATATTAGATGAATAATAAATAAGAAAGTTTTAAATTACATTAAATTGATACGAACTAACCTTGTTTCGATTTTAAATTGGTCAGCCAGTACTGGTATTTGGATGGCATTTGCGTCAAAAAGCCTCTAGCTGTTTATTTTAGCTTCCTGGGCGGTTGGGTGCCATTGACCAGCGTTATTCTATTGTTATTTTACGGTCCTAATTTATTTATTCCTTAGAATCTAAATATTTTTAATCAAATAATAAGAAAATTAAATTATTTACATGTCATGCAACGTTGCACTACGTGTTGGCGCATTCAGCATATAAATTAACTAGGAGTCAAGTCCAGAGAAAAATTTGCTTACGTAAGACGTACGCAACGCTGCGTACGTGAGGGAGGTTATTCAGAGGGTGTTAGAAGGTTATATTCGAGTTATACGCCCTATAACCTCCTTGTAACCTATCTGTGACCTACCTGCACTTTCTAGTAAGTTACGCGCTTTCGTTTTCATTTATTTAAAGGTTACATGTAGGTTACAAGGAGGTTACAGGAGGGTATAACGCAGATATAACCCCCAATATCCTCTAAATAACATCCCTCACATACGCAGCACTGCGTATATATTATGTACTCAATTTTTTCTAGTCCAGAAATGGTTTTATTTTTTTTTCCATGAACGAATGGAGAATTTGACAGAATTCAATGAAGCTCTTAAGAAAAAAAGCATATTTTTGCATTATTAAAAATAAATCATGGGCAATATAACAATTTCATTGATTTAGTCACATATTTGATTTACTTTTTCAACGAGAAAAGCAATTAAATCTGTCTGAGGTGTCTCATGCCTTTAAATTTACCAAGCCATACTAACTTTATTTTTTTTATAACATCATTATTATAAAAAATAAAATAATATTAAATTCCTCATCAGAGATTAGCAGTAATGGGGAGAAATTTTTTTTTTCCTGCTGCTCCACTCGGGCGAGCCCGGCTCAGCTCGTGTTCGGCTCGTCTATATTTCAAGCTAAAAAAGTATGTTAGTCTTCGGCTCGTTTGTTTAACGAGAGACGAACATGAGCCGTTCACGAACAAAGAGTCATTTTGACAACCCTAATCACGTAGCATGAAATGTTATAATTTTTATTCAATTTTCTTAATCAATATTTTAATTGATTATAGGTCTTTGTAGCCTTGTAGTCTATTAGATTTTTTTAAAATACTACTCTATATATATATATATATATATTTGATGAGTAGTATTTCGAGTCAACCAAGCCGAGCAGGAACGAACAAATATTTGTTCGTGTTGTTCGTGTTCGGCTCGTTAACTTAGCAAACGAGCCGAACACAAGCTTCTTAATAAGCCGAACACGAGCTGTTCGCGAACAACGAGCCGTTTTGACAGCCCAATACTCCACAACTTCCTTAACAGTTAAACAAATGGGGTTCTGACATTTATCCCTACTTTTACAAGATGCAAACTATGTAAATGTTTTATTCTGATTCGTTGGTGAACTCAAACCATAAAGCTAAGATTTCAAAGAAAGATGGTTTTAAGCTGAGGAAGGGAAAAGCACAATTGAGAATGATGGCCTACTTAGTATTTGATGGTAGATCCCTTTCCATTACAATTGTCCCCCACATTTATAAGAGGTTTATTTATGCACTACATATCAAGTACTGATTGCACTCGGGTTCCGAGCGATCATCCATCAATCCTTCTTTTTTTTTTTTTGCGGGGCAAGGGAGTTATATTTTATATTATCTTTATGTCCCTATATTGATAATTAGTCTTTAAAAAAAGTCTAATATCATATGTAGCTTGATAGTGACACATCTATTGGTACACCTTGCCACGGGACGAGTGGTATCCTTAGGCGAGTAAATCACATGGGGAGTCTTGCCAACTCGACCATAAGGCAATTTGGGCTTTCTTGGCTAGTTGTTGAGTTGCCTGAATTTGACCAGATATTAATGTGCGGATCACCATAGGCAAACTTTTGGTCATAACTTCTTGGTTGGGTTGGTCTTTGATGAAACCATTTGGCAGCCTTGCCTTTTATGTTTGACTTATGTTCCAAGAGTTCAAAGTAGGGGGGTTTTACAATGCTTGAATTTTGATAAAACTTCATATTTAGAAATAAATTATAATAATATATCATTCAAAGTCTTGAGTGAGTTATGAATTCTCGTTGAAGACATTAAGCTCATTGGCAAATTTAAAAATGACAAATTTTAGAAAGCACTCTTGATGATGAGAGTAGGTTCCCACTAGTGATTTCAAGAGGTAAGACCTAAAACAATAGAATGTAAGAATTTAGTTAAGCAAGTTCCTCGAGTTGTAGGATGAAAGCGGCAATAAATGAATGTGAGATGGATTGTTGGGAGTTCTAGACATGTAAATGCTTTTGACAACAAAAATAACATGTCAAAAGATGAATTGCCTAGGTGAATGGTGGAATTCATGACAAATTTATTTCTATAAGCTCTTCCCTCACACTCATTTTTTGGCTACAAATAATATGTCATTTTCCATTTTTAGGCATCAAGCAAACAAAGTATGAAGTGTTTAGTAGACTCGAGTGATGAGGTAGAGGATGAGCCAAATTCTTTGCCCTCTCCTTTATCCTTTAAAATATTTTTTTGTTGTTGGTCAAAGTTACAAAATCTTTTTTTGTTGGTATCCAAAGGTGGTTGATGGTCCCAACCATCGACATTCTTCCAGTAAAATTGAGTTCATTGTCAACCCTTGCACGATCTACATGGGTGGATAGCTATCGAGTTTATGTTAGATTGTATGGCTTTATTTTGAGTGGTTTATGTGCTAAGTTGATAGATTAGGTCAAATGTTTACTAACTCTCTTTTATGTGTGGATAATAAAACTCTTAAGAGAGTGAATCCTGCCTTATTTTTTATTTTCATTTTCTCTTTCATTGTTGTATGAGAGTATCCACGCTTTTCATCTAAGGTGGCCCTTATGGAAGTGAGTTGTTGACCCCCTCTAATCCAAAAAAAGATTATGTACTAAAGTTGTTGTCGAGTTCCTGGTCAACAATCTGTGCTTTAGAATAGTTATTGTACTAAAGGTTTCAAATTGTGGCATTTGTGTAATATGAAGTATTAAAAATATTAGGAATATAATTATTTTGTATGTACTTTTATAATATTTTATTTCTTAATTGAACAACTTATGTGTTGATGAAAATATTCTCACTTGTATTTTTTTCAATATGGATTACAATTTTAAGATATTATTTGGCATACTTATTGTGTGGTCGAATTCACCACTTGTTGAAATAAGCATTTCTTGGCTAGTTCTTATAATGTCGGTGGTATTGATTATAATCTCATTGTCACTTATATTAAAATTCTCCTGATAATGATAGTTACATATATGAATAATGTTTTTATAATAATTTAAGCTCATATGTTAATGAGTTCACAAAAAAAATTCTAGATAGTTTCTCTCCCATATCATTTCCTTAAAGATAGACATAGGTAAGACTTATAGGAGAAAATTGTACCATTCAACTTTTGGATCTCCAGCTCTCCTACATGTTGTTTTCTTAGAGGCTTCTTGAGTTTCTCCAATAATGGCTATTACCTAGGAGATTTTTACAATGTCACTGAGAGTTATCGTTCAATCTCTTAGCTTAGTGATGCACACCAAGTGTTGTGAAGCACAGTCGGCTCACGTAAATAAACATGACGTATCAGCATTACTAGGTTGGAGTCTGGTAGTCGATCCCATAGAAAAAAAGGATAAATTCTATGGAAAAGTTGTAGCTTATAATTGTCAATCCTAACATGAAAAGTTTGATTAGCAAGTTCAATTTAAACTTATTCTAAAATTATGAAAAACAAGTTTATTCTAGCAAGCAAAAATTTTATTTTAGAAAGTCAGGTGTTGAGAGTTTTCCTTCTTAAAGTGATCAAGTGATGGATAAAACTATGGATTAGTTTTCAAAA